GCAAGAGATGTCCAAACAGAAGAAAGGAACACTGCATAGTTTAAAATCAGGAAAAGTGTGTGCCAGGGCTATATCCTTTCTCCATATCTCTTCGATTTGTATGGTGTGCAGATAGAGAGGCTGGTCTTTATGAAGAAGGATGTGGCATCAGGATTGGAGGAAGGCTTGTCAAGAACTTGATTCATGGGGAGCTCTGGTGGCCTAGTGGCAAGGAACTGCAACTACAATCCCAGAGGTGCATGGTTCGAATCCACCAGATGCTCTGCGGGGGAAGGAGGGACAATCTCCTGTACCAGTCAGATCTGATTTGACGGTACACACACACACACACAAAGAACTTGATTCATGCAGATGCAAAGAGGAACTGAAGCGCTTGCTGCAGAAGATCAAGGACTATAATATTCAATATGGATTGCGTCTTAACATAAAGTAGACAAAAATCTTTACTACTAGACCAGTGGGCAACATCATGATCGATTGAGAAAAGATTGACATTGCCGACAATTTTCTCTTACTTGGATCCATAATCGGCCCTCTTGTTACCAGCAGTCATGAGATCAGGAGAAGTATTGGACTGGGAAAGTCGGCAGTCAGGGACCTCTCCCAAGTGCTAACGAACAATGATGTCAGTTTGAAGACCAAAGTGCACCTGACCATGGTCTTTTCAGTCACTTGCTACACATCTGAAGACTGGACACTGACTAAGGCTGACAGAAGAGTTGATGCCTTTGAGCTGTGGTGTGGGAGAACACTGAACATCCCGCAGACTACCAAAGACCAGACAAAGTGGAGAAAGTGCATCCAGAGTGCTCCTTGGAGGGAAGGGTGGTGAAGCTTCCTTCACCTCACATACTTGGGGCTTGTCGTTAGAGGGGGTTATTCATTGGAGAGCAACATCGTGCTTAGCAAGGTGGAGTGTCAACAAAAGAGAAATGGCTTGACAGAGCGACTGCAGCCATGGGTGTGAGGATCAGAGGGGATGAGAACGGCACGGGATAGGACAGGGTTCACTTCTGTTGTTCAGAGCATTGCGATGAGTTGTAATCAACTTGTTGGTGCCTAACAAGTTTATTATACCTTGTATATTTCTGTGTCTGGGTCAATTTCTGAACGATGTTATCACTTTTATTAATTTCTGTTTGTTGTTACTTGGTCCAAAGAACCCCCTTTATGCTTTCTTGTAAAATTGGTCTTTTTCCTACAAATTCCCTTGTTGTTGTGTGCCATTGAGTCAACTAAAGCTCATGGTGACCCTCTGCACAACGGCTTTGAAGCCTGCTCTATCCTGAGCCTGTCTCATTGTCTCTGACACACCTACCCTTTTACCCTAGTTATTGTGTCAATCCATCTCATCCTCAGTTGTCTTCTCCTGCACTGGCCCTCCATCCTTCCAAGCATGATATCCTTCTCCAAGGACTGGTTCCCCCTGGCTACATGCCTCTAAGCTTTTAAAACTCTCTTCATGTTCTGGAATTCCAGTCGGATGAGCGACTGTCCCATGTGTCCCATGTGATTCTTATACATTGTTTTTCTTCTCTTCATTTTGAGTTTTCCTCTGACACATTGTATACATAACTGACCCTCCAGTCACTTTTCAGAAATTATAAATCACATGAAAGGAGATTGCCCATCTTTTTCCTGTGGAGCAACTAGTAGGTTTGAACCACATACCTCTGAGTTGGCAGCTTAACTCCTTACCACTAAGCCACCAGTTCTCTAATTCATCTTTCATTGTTTCAGTTCTGCTCTCTTGTCCTTCCAGTGTGTTATCTATTTCTGCAATTTTTAAAAAAATGCTCTTTATTTTAATTTGCTTTTTTGTATTTATTGCTTCTGAGTATCCTTTTATTTATTTGGTCTTTCATAATTTTTCTTAAAAAATTCTTCTATATTTTCTTCAGTCTGTAGAAGATAGTTATCATTCTTTGAATTCTTTATCAGGAAGTTCCAGTAGCTTTCTTTCTCTTAAAGATTTTCTGCTTTTTTATTTTTGTCACTTTTGTCTCTTGATTTCTCGAGTGGATTAATGTTATCTGTTCTTGTCTTTTCATAGTTCTGTTTTGATATATTGGATTCAACTGTGCAGGTGTGCTGTGTGGCTTGCTAGTTTGGTAGGTCTCAGTGTCCCACCTCTTGTCCTCTGGTTGTGTGTGTGTGTGTGTGTGTGTGTGTGTGTGTGTGTGTGTGCAGGCCTCCACTTGCTGTTTGTGTAGAGTGTTGAGGACAGGCCTGACCAGCATTGGTTGATCAGGTGATGCAGTGAAGCTGCAGAAGGTGGACATAGGGCTGGACACTGCTGTTGTCTGTTGTCAGATGGGACCAAAAAAAAAAAAAAAGGAAAAACCCAAAACAACAGGAACCGAAACTGAGATTGGACACCAGAACCAAAACTGAGAAGGGTACAAAATGAAGCAGAACCCAAATAGAAAGGCTTAAGGAAAGAAAAATGAAAAGGAGAAAAAAAGGGAAGAGCAAGTTTGGAAAAGGAATAAAGTTCTGAGAGAAGAGAAAGTGGAAGCTATGGGGAGGGAGGAACAGCAGGCAGTAAGATCTGAACAGTCACGTAAAGTGCAGAATGAGAGGAAACGGGGCACACCTTGGAGGTGGGGACACTGGGCACCTCAATTCCAGTGTGCAGTCAGGCTAAGGCCCTGGCCTGGATGGTGGGGCCACAGAAGAGCTGTGGCTTCTAGGCGTTCCCGCTCATTGCTGTGGAGGTGCTGCTGACTCACAGCCGACCTGCACTGGGTTTCTAAGACTGGAAATCCCAGGGAAGGAGATGCTGCATCTCTCTCCTGCAGAGCCACTGATGGACTTGAGTTATTAGCACTGCACCTCCCAGTGGACCAGCAGTTCTCAGAGTGCTCCAGGATCCCCTGGGGAGCTTGGAGACCCTTCTCAGAGATACTCAGAGTCAAAATAGTTTTCTTAATAATGTCAGGATGCTGTTTGCATGTCTTACTTTCATTCCCTCGCAAGTGTGTGGTGGAAATTTCCTGAAGCCTCCATGGTGGGTGGGGGGCTCAGAACTCTGCCAGTGGAGCGCCTATCTCAGTCTTAACTTTTAATTCATCAAATACTCATAACCATAGTCCACAGAACTAAGAGCTCTTTAGTGTCTTCAGTAACTTTTCCCCCTTAAGTTGTTTTTTTTTTTAAATATGCTGTTAATTCCTCTGTCATCCTTATTCATTGTCCAGCTTTGAGATGCATGGCAAGTGCTATCCCTGTGGCACCAGGGACATTGTTGCCTATGTCAGATGGATCCTGGCTAAAAGCAGAGAGTACCAGAAGAACGTATATTTGTGCTTTATTGATGATGCAAAGGCATTTGACTGTGTAGCTTTTAACAAATTATGGCTAACATTGAGACAAATGGAAATATCAAAACACTTATTTTTGCTCACGTGAAACCTATATCTAGAACAAGAGGCTGTTTTGCAAACTGAGCAAGGGAACAGTGCATGATTTAAAACCAGGAACAATGTGTGTCAGGGTTATGTCCTTCCTCCATTCCTATTCAATTTGTACATTGAGTAAATCATTCATGAAGCTGGACTCTGTGAAGAAGATAGGGCATTAGGATTGGAGGACAATCTGCATTGTATAGATGACAAAACCTTGCTTGCTTGATTTGAAATATTCACTGCAGAAGATCAAAGATGACAGCCTTCAGTATGGACTGCATCTCAACACCAAGAAAACAAAAATCCTCACCACTGGACCAGTAAACAACATCATGATATGTAGAGAAAACCCTGAAATTGTCAATGATGTCATTTTAGTTGGATCCACAGTCAACACCCTTGGTACCAGCAATCAGATGATCAGGAAATATATTGCATTGAGAAAGTCCAATGTTTCAGTGTCAGAGAGCGCTCTAAATTACTGAGGAGCAATGATGTCAGTTTGAAGACTAAGGTGCACCTGATTCAGGCCATAGTCTTTCCCATCACTTGCTATGCCCTGAGAGCAGGACGGTGAAGAAAGATGACAGAAAAAGAATTGATGCCTTTGAGTTGTGATATTGGAAAAGAGTTCTGAACAAATAAGTCTGTCTTGGAGAAAGTGCAGCCAGAGTGCTGCTTGGAGTTGAGGATGGCAAAGCATTGTCTCACGTATTTGGGCGTGTTGCTAGAAGAGGCCTCTTCTTGTAGAACATCGTCATGCTTGGAAAGGTGGAGGGTCAGCAAAGGAGAGGAAGACCCTCAACCAGGTGAACTGACAAAGTGACTACGGCAGTGAGCTCAAGTGTGTCAGATCTGGTGAGGATGGCACAGGATAGGACAGGGTTCAGATCTGTTGTTCATAGGTCGCTATGGGTCATACTCGATGGCACCTGAAAGTACTAACATACATGTAAAAAAATGACCCTTTTAAAATGTTCAATTCATTGGCTTTGATTATATTTACTGTGTTGTGTAGCTGTCCTCAACAGTCTGCTTTCAATTGCTTTTCATCTCCCCAAACAGAAGAAACTCAGTGCCCTTTAACTGATAAGAGCATCTTTCCCCCCCAGCCCTGGGAACCCTAGTCTACTTCCTGTTTATGAATCTCCCTCTTTGAAGTTCTTTCTATAGGTGGTTCATATAATGCCTATGCTTTTGTGCCTTGTCTTACTTCACCGAGCATGTTTGCGGGGTCATCCATGCCATGCCAGGTATCAGCACTTCACTTCTTCTCCTAGAGCGGCACTCTGTTGGATGCAGAGAACAGAATGACCGCTGACTGAGTTGTCACATGCGTATGATCTGATCGTAAGCGTTCAGACTTGGAAAACCAGCCGTGGCAGGTGTTCGGTTGCATCTGTGGAGTATTTGTCTTTGGGTATTTAATAAATATGTGTGCCTGCACCTGGGAGCACCCGGCAGCGCTTCCCAAAGAACAAGGCTGGTCTGTGGAGCCTGTGAGGACGCAGCCCAGGCCTGAGTCACTCAGGGCAAAAGGTACTTTGGGAGTGCCCCAGGCTACGCTGACTCCTGGCCTTTGTTTTGCTCCAGAGGTTATCACGAAAAAAAGGAAGTTAGGGAAGAACCCAGATGTGGACACAAGCTTCTTGCCTGACCGAGACCGTGAGGTAAATTCCCCTTGGACAGGGCTGGGCCTGGCACTGCCCTTGACCTCGGCCCTGTCCCCAGAACCAACCCTGACCTTTGGGCTGACCTGTACCTGCCATTGGATCTTGTTAGAACAAGGTCCTGGGGCACCCCATTGAGGGAGTTCTGGCCGTGATCTTTGGCCCATTTCCTCCCCTAGGAGGAGGAGAACCGGCTCCGGGAAGAACTGCGACAAGAGTGGGAAGCCAAACAAGAGAAGATAAAGAGTGAGTGCCACCCTGAGCCCCCCGAAGCTGGCGGGGGTGCAGGGGGGCAGGGACATCGGGGTCTGGAGCCCAACAGACAATGTTCCCTCCTAGGTGAGGAGATTGAGATCACCTTTAGTTACTGGGATGGCTCTGGTCACCGGCGCACAGTCAAGGTAGGTGGGCCTGGCCTTCGCCCCCCCTCAGGCCTCCACCTGGAGGAAAGCCTACGGCCTGTGGGTGCGGGTGTGGAGCTCCTCGGGGAAGGGGGCCACACTGCCTGGACCCTTCCATGAGAGCCCCTCTGTGTCCTCCCGGCCCTACCCTGATGTCCACACACTGACTTCACAGATGAAGAAAGGCAACACTATGCAGCAGTTCTTGCAGAAGGCCCTGGAGATTCTGCGCAAAGACTTCAGCGAGCTCAGGTAGGGGACAGGCTGTGAGGCCCAGGGGCTTCATTTGCCGACGTGCATGTGTGACGCTGTGTGGGTAGAGCATGTATGCAACTCGAGGCCGCACATGGCACTGTTGTGCCAGGGTGGAGCCCAGGTGTGTGGGTGGCTGTGGGCAGGTGCTATGTGAAGAGACACCCCTGCTCACGTGAGATAGGTGCTGGCCAGTGCACACATGTGCAGAGCCCGACCACCAAAGTCTGGCTCACGTTGCACAAGAGTGCCCCCTGCTGGACGGGCGACTGCTGGCACTTCTCTGGCCCTTCATCCAGGGCGCTGTAGGATGATCTGCACCAGGCCCCCTGGCCGTGCTCTCTCCCTCCAGGTCAGCAGGGGTGGAGCAGCTTATGTACATCAAGGAAGACTTGATCATACCTCATGTGAGTCCTTTGTGGGCACCCTGCTGGCCTCTCCTGGGCCCTGGGTTGTGAATGGGCTGTGGGCTGGTGGGAGCCGCCACTCACTTTCCTGTCCTTGGCTTTTAGCACCACAGCTTCTATGACTTCATCGTCACCAAGGCCCGAGGGAAGAGTGGTGAGTGACCGTGACCCTTACTGCCCCGGTCTTACCTTGTACTGCCCATCCGGTCCTGGTCCCACCACACCGAGATCACAGGGCCTTCTCTCCCACAGGACCGCTCTTCAATTTCGACGTTCATGATGACGTGCGGCTGCTGAGTGACGCCACTGTGGAGAAGGACGAGGTACCTTGAGGGCCACAGCTCTGCTTCAGGGAAAAGCCAGGAACAGGAGGGGAGGGATGGGAGGGAGGGGCAGGAGGGCTGAGAGGGCCAGGACAGGAGGGGAGGGAAGGATAGGAGGGGAGAGACAGGAGGAAGGGCTGGGACAGGAGGGCCGAGAGGATCAGGACAGGATGGGAGGGAGGGCTGGGGCAGGAAGAGAGGGACAGGAAGCGGGGGAGGGCTGGGACAGGGAGGGAGAGGAGAGGAAGGGAGGGAGGGAGGGAGGGAGGGACATGAGGGAAGGACAGGAGGGAAAGGAGGGATGGAAGGGAGGTCTGGGGCAGGAAGGGAGGGACAGTTGGGGCAGGAAGGCTAGGAGGAGTCTGGGACAGGAGGGGAGGACCAGGAGGACCAGGCCTGTCCTGAGCTGGCCTTGGGCCCACCTGCCTCCTCTAGTCCCATGCCGGCAAGGTGGTGCTGAGAAGCTGGTACGAGAAGAACAAGCACATTTTCCCAGCCAGCCGCTGGGAGCCCTATGACCCTGAGAAGAAGTGGGACAAGTACACGGTCAGCAGGGGTTGGGGGTCGCCACCCTTAGTGAGTAGAAGCTCTGTGCCTGACAGCCTGAGCCAGTGTCTCGGTTTCTTCTCACTCCCGTCCCTGTCCCCACACTGCAGATCCGGTGAGCACCGTGGGACACAGTCCGGCCCTGGCTCTTTAGTGCTTCTTCAACTCCAGCCCCAAGTCCTTTTTTATCTCCTCCTCCTGGGCTAGGCATGTTTGTCCTGGGGTGGGCGTCAGGATGGGACTAGGTGACAGGAGCTGTCCCTTCTGTCCCTTGGTGCTGTCACTTACTGCTTTTCCTTGGACAATAAAAGATGCCCCTGTCAGAACTGGGGCCTGTATTGTGAAGAAGTGGTGCTTTGTGTTGTAATTATTTCACTGAGATCAAATTCACATCAAACCTATCATTTTAAACCACTTAGAAGTACAATCCCAGGGCCCTCCACAGACTTGGGAACAGTGCTGGGAGAGTGGCAGTCCCTCCATGCTGGAGAAGGTGCCCAGCTTAGGGTGGACAAGTGCCCAGATGTGATGCTGGCAAGGCGGGCCTAAGAGTGTCATCTGCCACCTGTGTGGAGCCATGCCATGCAGCATCACCAGGCTTTGTTGGATGAAGGGAGCAGTGGTGGCCAAGCTGCCTCAGGGCTGGAGCAGGGACAGGGTGTGCAGCCTGACCGTAGGCCTCCAGAAGGGGCAGAGAAGTTTCAGGTCCTGAATGGGGCCTTTTGTGCTCCCTGGAGCCCTGAGCAGTAGCAGGGGAGTCATGCTTCCCTTCTAGAAGCCACCAGAAGAGCAGACTTCCCAGCCTGCCAGCCAGCTGAACTTACTCTAGCCCTGCAGCTTCTGGAAAGAAGTTCTCAAGGAATGTTCCAGAATGAATTCTCTTCCAAAAAGAAACAAATTGAAGTCTTGACCTCTGTACCTGTCAGCATGGCCTGGTTTTAAATAGACTGCTTAAGACATTAATAGTTATCACGAGCTCAAGCTTCCCGAAGTGGCATTAGATGAAAGAGATAAGGCAGACAGATGCATGGGGAGGATGGCCAGGTGGCAGTAGTGGTGCTTACGGTGATGCCACCATGAGCCAAGGAACACTCGGCATCACCAGAAGCTAGGAAAGACAGGAGTTCCCCCTCCTAGAGCCTTGGAGAGGGCATCGCCAAGCCCACCCACACTCTGGTTGCAGATTTCTGGCCTCCAGAACTATCAGATAAGCCACTACGGTTGCGTTCAGCCCCAATTTGTGGAAATTTGTCCCATCAGTCCCAGAAAAAAGGTCTTTGGGGGCAGCGTTAGGCCTTGGAAGGACAGGCAGAGAAAAGAGACCCTTTTGAGGTCAGGACCAAGCAGGATGCACTGTCAGGGAAGGAGACCTGTTTTCTCATGACCACAGTGTGGGAGCTTGGGGCGGTGGTGCTACTGCCTCTGCTGGGCTAAGATGATGGAAGGTGAAAGGCTGGGGCCGGTTCCACATCTGCTCTAAGGCATAGCAGCATGGTCTGAGGGGGAACAGTCCATGGGGACTTGGATCTGGATGGATTTGCAGGTTAGACAGGTAGGAGTCAGACACTGAAATGGGGGCACTGCCCAGATAGATTTGTGACCCTCTGAGACAAGATAGGTCAGGGGGTGAGAAACTCACATTTCTGAGGACTGGTGTGTGCCAAGGCTTCCTGGGCCCTGATGGAAGGTCTGCGCCACAGGTGATAGACAGTAACAATGAGCAAACAATGAAGACATAAGGCAAACGGCTTTTCTGGCACTGTTTTCGTCTGACAGCTGATGACAGGTCAGGGGACATTCCAGGCAAAAAACAATCTTGGTGGAGTAGGGCTAAATGTAGGGATCGGACAGAAGAGAGGGGAGCAGAAATACCATCAGAGGGCTCTGGGAGATGGTGGGAAGGGATGACTTCCCTTTTCGACCTTTAACTGAGCTGTTCCACATCAGTGACATGTGGCTTTGAGATGCCTATGTTCAGTGAGCCCAGTCTCCAGCCGCCCTGACAGAAGTGATTGTTTTTATTTGCTTGCTTACAGAGTTCGTACACCTTGTGTTTCATGCTATTTTTAATTGGCCTTGGGTTTCATACAATCATTCTCATGCATCATGTTTTAACCTGAGATCACTCTTGTTCCTCTCCCATTTCCCTGTCCTATTTCTGCAGAGACGAGCAGGGGGGAGAAGCCTTCCTTGTTCTCACTATTCTTGTGCGAAGATTCACACGCCAAGCTCCTGTTCTGCACCTTTCTGTTGTCTCTGAGGATGGAGCCAGAATAGCCTCTGGGTCTTTCCATATCAGGACACGCAGCCTTCTCATTCTGCTTATTTTAACCTGCTGAGTGAATAGGTTAGTAATTGGCAAATTGCTCTCCCTGAGGCCTGGCCCACTTGCAACTCCACCAGTGGTGGGAAAGAGTCCAATGCCTTGGCCTCACACAGATTGCTCCCACTCCAATTGGGGACTCACTCACATTGATCTGGCATGGGGCATGTGACATAATAACACTTAGCGTGTTAAAATCCCCAAGTCAGTGGAATTTACTACAAAAAGAACCCTTTGTACTATATTGCAAATATTTCTCATAGTTTCCGTTCATTTTCTTAGTTCTTCTGCTATGAAAAAGCTCTACTTTTTTAGGTAGCTTGACTTTTCAATCTTTTTTGGATTCTAAGTCTTAAGGCATGGTTATAGAAGTCTTTCCAATCCAAGATTATAAAAGAATCCAAGTATTCTTGAATGGATCTTATTCCAAGTACCACATCAAGTGACTGGAGAACATTGATAGGAATGAGGCATGGTTTTAAATTCAGTTTTCAAGCTGTTCAGATAACATCATGGAGGCAAGGTTAATGTTACCACAAAAAGGAGGTCAGTGAGGATCCTGGACAAGGAAAGAGTAGTGGATGTGGAGTGAAAAGGTTACTGGAGTGTCAGAGCCTTTGAAAATTGCCTTTTCTAAACATTGTTTTAGCCTCTGTTAGGAGCATGGTCTCCAGGTCCCTTAATTGTGTACACATGATTTGAAAATCATCAGTGGCTGTGGGAGAGACTGTGGCACTGCTGTGAAGTGACTGTGGCAAGGTGTAACCAGAGGAATCCAGGAGATAAAGGCCACAGTTAAAGGTTTTGCTTGCTGGGTGATTGAAAGAAAAGCTGACATAACTGCTCTGAGATAAAATTTGCTGGATGATTGAGGAAACCAAAGGTTTATTTGTACTGCTGGATTAAGCCATGACTTGCATTGTGAGATAGTTCTTAAATTTTATTATTGTGTGTGTGTACCGTCAAATTGGATCTGACTGGTACAGAAGGAGATTGCCCCTCCTTCTCGAACTGCATACCTCCAGGATTGCAGTGCTGCTTCTTGCCACTAGGCCACCAGAGCTCCCCTGCATTGTGAGATATTCTTTGCCTCCCTTACTCCCCAACCCATCTCCTCAATAGACCACACAACTGTAAGTAAAGCCTGTGAGTCGATTTGCAACAAACACTAGACCAATAATTGGTAGAAATAGGTGCAGGAGCATGGGAGGTGGTGCGTCTGACCATGTAGCTATGTGTTTGCTAGTATGGATATTATTGATGGAGACAGTTCCCTGTTATGATGTGGGTAGAAGTCATACTAAGTTTCCTTCATGTTCTCTCAGCTCCTTTTACAGTCACCTTCTGGATAGATTGTGAAGAGTCAGCAAGATTTGCCGACAGGATGTGAGAAATGAAAGAAAGAGAGATGTCAAGTAGAACTCCAAAATTTTGGCTTGAACAACAGAGGAAATCCTTACTGAAATAGGTAATTCTTGAAAAGGAGTAATTTAGGGGAAAGAAATGAAGAGATTATTTTTTGTACTTAAAGATCTCTGGTAGCATAGTGGATAAATGCTTGGCTGCTAACTGAAAGGTTGGCAGTTTGAACTCAACAGCTATTTCTTGAGAGAAAGATACCTTGGAAACCATATCGGACTGTTCTCTTATTGGGTTTTTTAATAGGAATTGACTTAATTGCATATGACTTCAACATTTAGTATGTGCAGAAGTTGATTAATAGTTACTGTGGAAACTACAGAACAGTGTCATTGATTTCACATGCAAGCAAGATTCTACTGAAGATTATCCTAAAACGATTAGAACAGCACATCAGCAGAGAATTGCCGGAAGTCTAGGCTGGGTTTAGAAGGGGTCGTGGTACTAGGGATATTGTTGCTGATGTTAGATGGATCTTGGC